CCATAGTGTGTATAAATCCTGTTTGTAAACAAACACAAACCCACATGCAATGTTAGATTACACTATCACATGGAAGCAGCATCAAGATCCACTCAACACAACATGGCAAAGGTTCCTCTATTTGATCTGAAGCATGCACCACTATCTGAGTGAACCAAGACCTTCTAAGACCATTTGAACGGTGTCGTTCTGCCATATGGCCAGGGCCAAAGAAAATTCGAATGAATTAAAGAAAACATACAAATAACTGATCGAAATATAAAGAAATCTTTACACAAGGCATTTGAACTTCAACGGTTCTTATTATATGCCATTGGCCACATATGTTATTTGGCAACATAGACGGAAAATAAATATAACAGGAAATGCATATGGCTCCAACTGTACTGGCACATTGGCATCTTTCACATTAAAATCAAAATCAAAATCTACAATTCAAGCTTTGGATAAAACAAAGTAAAAGAAAAATGAAAGGTTTGTTGTCTAAAGAGAACAGGTAAACAGGTAAAGAGAAACTGACTAGATTTAAGGCTATTTATTAGTTTGTTTAGTCAGATTAAATGGTACAAAGTGTGTAATTTCTGCACACATAATCTAACTAAACTGCACAAATTCCAAAACATGCCCCTCATTTGCCATTGGTCAGATAAATAGATAGCCCTGCCCCAAACTCACCCCATTGGTTAAGCCAATGTTGCTGGTTGGATTGCTCAAACAAACAGAGCAATATTTTGATAGTGCCACAGAACTACAGGGTTAGACTTCATGGAAACAAACATGAAAAACAATTCATATCGGAGCAAAATTGCTGTCTCCACATCTAAAAGGCAAAAACAAGGTGGCTAACTTAAACCATACATGTCAAAATTTTGCTGTTTGAACTTGTACTTTCAATCAAACACCTCTCTGCTCAGTACAAACTGCTTTCTATTATCTAAATCAGTCGGTCATAGAGGACAAAATGGAGATAAGTAAAATCCTTCCACAGACATGAAATTTTCCTTGCTAAATCCCGTTTAACCGTCATAATCTGGCCTGTGGAGGCACAAATGTTGTAAAAGAATGACTGGCCTATTGTTGGGGATTTCCAATTCAGTCTGGTTGTATAAAAACTGAAATGTAATGGAGCTAAAGAAAAAGCTTCTTTCATCCCTGAATAAGATCATTTCGTCTCTAGTGTGCCACACTGGCTAATCCAGTGGGCTTCAGCGTGATCTTGTCATCCAACATTGTTACTCTGATTGGCACTGCATTGTTCAAACCTGGTATTTAACACTGTTGGTGTTTCTCTTCTCTCCTTTTCTTGCTCATCTGGGTTTGAGTATCAATACTGGCTCAACTTTAAAAACATTACAAATTTTATAAACATTAGTCATTTTAACCTAATGTTTGAGATTCTTATGCTACATTTTAGACACAAAATAGTAAAAACTGCAAACAGGCTCATGGTAACTATTGCACCTTTTGGCCTTCACATTTGTTTCATTGCGGAAGAATTTAAAGATTATTAAAACAAAATTACAAGATGTAACAAAAACTCTTCAAAGGCAATAATAAATTAATTAACTTGAAGTGAAATTGGCGAAGATGAGTTACGAAGGGATAAATCCTCAAATTGTCAACTCAACACTGCAGAAATCAAATTCTTAATCAGTGTTTTTGTCTTGTGTAGAATCATTTTAACATCCTGCACAAGATAATAAGTCTTCTTCTCAGATAATATGTCTTGAATTATGTTTATTTTCTCTTACCACATTGGCAACTGGATTTATTTATTTTAATTCTAACAAAATTGAGTGAAGTTTATGCTTTGCCATTGTGGTTAAAAGAAGTCTGTGGTTAAAAAAAAGTTTTTCAGTGTTGCTGACATTCAAATCAGAGGATGCTAAAACATACCCAACCATGATAAAAGACTGATGTGGACTTATTTCTTTTTCCAAAACTCAGTTATAGTGACTGAAATCTTGGGATGAAGCATAAACAAGACATTGTAGTGCACAAAGAGTTCTGTAGCAGTCTCTGGTGGAACAGCACAACTAGCCATTGGAAAGGACACAAAGCTGGTGATGATATTCACCACATGTCTGTAGTTAAGGTGTAGTTCCTCATTTTCAAGAGAGGTTGAGAGAAAAAAAAAAAACAAGGATCTTCTCTTAAGTACAGAATGTTCGTTAATGCAATCGTGCAGCAGTTGTTGCGAATCTCAAACAATGGCACATGCTGTTTGGCAGGAGACTGACTAGAAAGTCATTAAGACACAGACAAATCCTTGTTTTACAGTCTCGCGATCCTCAGAGCAAGAGTGAGGTAAACCCAGAGATATTTGTGGGTCCAAAGGCCTGCTCTTCATCCTTTGAGCACCGCTAGCACTGATAGAGTTTTCCCTTTGATTTAAACGTGCATAACCTTTTAATGGTCCTTAGGTTATATTTGAGGGCTAGTGGATCACACACACACACACACACACACACACACACACACGCACGCACACACACACACACACACACAGGTGACCAGAAATCCATGATAACAAAATCAGTATACATGCATACACAGCAGGGCTCGACAGTAAGGACTGCCCAATGGCCCAGGGCCAGTGTGAAAGACGCTCGGGATCGCTGACAGATGGGCCAATTCTGCGTAGTCATGAAAGTTTGTCATTTCAACATGTTTTTTAAGTCTTGCTAATTTAAACATTCAAGCGATTGTATACCATTCAAGCACAAGAATTATTTAATTGAATTACTTTAATTATTTAATAAAAATAAGGCTGAAATAAAAAAAGATTGCCTTGGCAGTAACTGAAAAAAATACTAAAAACTTGAGCTGAAATAAAAATAAATTAAAGCTAAATATCAAAATCAATAAATCAATATAAATCTATAAAAATATCAAAATGATAAAAGTAAAAATTAAAATGTATAAAAAATAAAATGAAATTAAAATGAAAACTGACTATATAAAAATATAAGTCAATTAAAAATATTTGTACATACTATAATAGTATATAAATAACACTAAAATAAAGTCAATGGACTACACACATTAACCCACCCCCTCTTTTGTTATGAATAGCTACACATCAGGCTGCTGGTTTCTCATGATAGAAAAAGCATACAATCATAGTGATGACAAATTTAAAATATTGTTTATAGCTGTCAAACTAAAGACTAATTATTAGGACAAATGTCATCCTAAATTTAGCTTGTGATGTGATGTGGGACAAGACTTGTCAAATCAGGACTATTTGGTCACCCAAACACACACACACACACACACACTCAGAACAAAGGTGAAATGCTCATCAAACCCCCCGGCATTTTTGTAATGCCCATCCATGTTTTCAGGCAGAAAATGGCATGGCAGATAGTTCGGGTGGGCTTTTGGTACCATGAGTCCAGTGGTAAGAGTAGAACTCGCCTTCAAGCTCCGGTAGGCTCCAATCCAGACTCCTGTTGCTAAGCGACTTGACCCGGAGAATCTGAAGAGTTGCCCGCTGCGACCCAACGGTCACTGAAATCTTTCAGCTAAATGACAGCTGATCAGGTCTAGCTAAAGATCAAGGTCTTTGTAATCAGGTGGACCTCCACGTCACTGTGCATCTTGAGGGGAAGCTGTGTGAACGGGCACGTGCTGACACTGACTGGATATGTGATGACTGAATGTGTGGAGGAGAGAAGGGATGGAAAGAGAGACAAGGGAAAAAAAGCGGATTTGAATCATTTCCCCGGGCTGGGCTGCATTCAGTGATCTGGCAGACGAGGCATGGTCGCTCATGGGACTTGGACTCCTTAAGGATCTAATTCTACCTTAGACCACCTCAGCTGCTCTTGCAAACACAATGCATAGCCCTTTATTACAATATCAGATCTTGACTAGGTGGTATTAAAGGTATTAAAAATTCATTCACAGAGAATTTACTCACTGTCATGTTATAAACCCATATGCTGTTTTTTGTGGAACACAAAAACATAATTTTTGAATCTTTATGTAGCTATTTTCCACACAACATTCTGTCAAGCTCCAAACACCACAAGAGTGGTCCATACAACTTTTTCAAAGTCTACTGAAGAGAATCGATAGCTTTACTTTAAAAAAATGAATTCATTATTCACCTATAATCTTCCCCTCCAGTGAACCGTTGAATTAAGAACCAATGGAATATGGATCAATGAATCATGGATCAGTGGTCATTATGTGAGAACTCAAGAACTGATTTGTGAACCAGATCAAATGGTTCACTGAAAGGAACAGGCTCAAAAGATGAGTGATTTGTGAATCAGAATGTACAAGGCTGTGTCAAAAATCACCCCCTATATACCCTTAAATATGGCACTATTTGAGGGGACATCCATTTGTAGTGGTGTCCGAAAACATAGTGGACGTTATCGAGTGCACTCATTCAATCCCACAATGCACCGCAATAACGACTGTACAACTGATGTACGCTAAACGGCTAGAGAATACCCATAATGTACTGTGAGAGTCGTGCGTCAAATTAATTTCCGCGTCTTGCCAGAAGATGACGCCATTTTGTGGATACAGCGTAATATCACACAGGTATAAATTCCTTTTTAATATATCATTATTGATTATTAAAGCTTTATACATATTCCATGAAGATACATCTTTTCATCTTACTACTAAAGCTGCCGATTTCAGAAGGGGGCAATTTCAGGCACAGCCCAAGTTCAACTCACTGATTCAATTTCACAGTTGTTCTCAAGTTAAAAGATCACTGGAGCAGAAGATCATCACTGAATAATGACTTCAATTTCAGTCTGTTCCTCACATAAAGCTACCATATGGCTTCAAAAGACTCGGAATCTACTGTATGGATTACTGTGGTCACTACCAAGTACCAACTGTGAGGATTATACAAAACTGTCTTTTGATCTATAGAAAACATAGCATTAAAGGGGTTTGGGACAACATGAAAGTGAATAATGGTTCAGGTTTTTTTGGAGGGGTGGGTGAACTAACCCTTTACAGTAAAAAAAGAGGAGAAATGTATGAGTGCTAAAGGCATTGAGGGTGAATGAAGAAACCAAGCTGAAAGTGTGAAGTGGCGGGATGCATGAGGCTCAGGCTGCATTAAGTTTGTGATCAGATGTTGGTTAAAGTGGTGCAGGTGATCACGCGCACAGTCAGCGTGCCTGGAAGGTTGTTGTCTTGGCGACTACCCTTGTCTTTAAGGTAGACTGTGTGCTGCTCTTGCCGGTCATTAGGGTCAGTAAAGAGGGTCACCTGACCCAGGAAGGTGTCAACAATCACATTCTTATTGTAGATCTGAGTTCGTCAAGGAGCAGTCAGAGGGGTTAAGCAGGAGAAACAGAGAAGAAAAGCAGAAATAAGGTAAGAGGAACAGATCAGGAGATCTGTAGCAGTTGGTGAAAAGGACTGAAGGAGGAAGAGAAGTAATTACATACTTCCAACTCACCTCGATGTGAATGCCTTCCTTTGGCTTTCTGCGGTAGAATATTCCCTTAATATCAAAACTAGGGCAGCGTGTGTCTTTGTGCACGGGGGAGCGAACTTTCTCCCCCTCACAGGTGATGATCACATATGGGTCAGAGGCTAAAAAAATAAAATAAAATAAAAACGTGTAAGCAACACACTTTATATGACAGGATTCAGTACATACAGTTGCTGCCTCTACCACTGACACGCTGCAAAATATTTTCTTAATCAGTATTTTTTCTAGTAAAAAATATATTTACATTTAAAAGTAACTGTTTTCTATTTGAATATATTATAGAATATAATATGTTCCTGTGATACATTTTCTGCATCATTACACATGATCCTTCAGAAATCATTCTAATATGCTGATTTGCTGCTCAAGAAACATTTCTTATTATTATCAATGTTTTTAAATCTTTGATGAATAGAAAGTTCCAAAGAACAGCATTTATTTGAAATAGAAATCTTTTGTAACATTATTAAAAAATCTTAGTGACCCCAAACTTTTGAACGTTAGTGTATATATTGCAAGTCTAGAATACATTTATCTTGTTCTTTGGATGTTTGAGACAAAAATAATGATTAAGAAAATTATTTTTGCAGTGCACCATAAAGAAACAAATACAATGCCATGCATTGAATACAGACAAGTCGAGATTGAAAAATAAATTAAAAAAGCACTTGCTCCGAACCTGAGTTCAGTTCCACCCAGTTCTCCCAGCAGGTCTTTTTTTTAACATTACGGTATGTTTACATCATCACTGTGAATTCCACCTGTTTACGAGTGTAGCTAGGAAACAACTCAGGAAGAGAAAACCCCAGTTTTCTCTTAACAACCAAACACACTGTACTCTGATGTCAAACCAAAGCTTCATTCATTAATCTACGACAAATTTCACAAAAAACTCCACAACCTGTAAATCTTCAGTCACTAACTCCTAAAACACCAAGCCTTCATTGACGCACTGTAATAACTTTGCAAATGTTGTGGAATTCATCTTGTTTTTTGAGGAATATCTTAGCATATTTCGTGATTTGTACACTTTATCATTATACACTTTGGTAAAAAAAAAATCACGAGAACATAAATGTAAATGCAGACCCAGAGTGCTGAGGTGAAAGAAACACTTAAGCAAAAGACAAGCACAGACTGACACTAGAGAATTTAAGATTCTAGAGCACAAAGTCACACTGAAAACATGTTAAAAATTAGTCTTCATTTTGCATGACAAATGTGTCACTTTCACTATTCTGTGCTAGAACTAAAGTAAATGAGATACAGTGTGGCAGATTTAGACACAGAATTGGAATTAATGTTGTAACATGCTCACATTTCTATAAGGGGAAGGAGATGCTAGTGGCTGCTAATATCAGTACCTCCTGTGTAGAAGTCAGAGCGTGTCTTGTGGGAGATCAAGCGGTGCAGCTCTGTGTGCGGTCAAAAGAGATTTCTATGTGTAAAAGCTCCAGACTTATTAAGCAGCACAAAAATCTGAATCTGTAATGGGTTACAGGAATAATTCATCATTTACAGTCTGTACTCAATGATGACAGAAAACATTTTTGGGTGAACTATCCTTTAAAATTGTACATGACTGCAGTTCATGGAGCACTGGTTTCAGGGTCTATGGGGAGAAATCAACTATGCAAATTGTTATTAGTATTATCACATTCAAATGCAAGGGGCATCAATGGAATCCAGAAGCAAGACCTTTTATTAAGAAGAGAAATAATAAATGCAACTTTTATCAAGGTAGATTAATAGTGTTGTTCATCAGCTATTGATATACAATGCCTCTAAAACCCACACTAATGAGGGGCTTTTGCACCGGAGAAACGTTTTCATAGTTCCTATGTCTATTGGCAGAGGTATCCACTTTTTGGCGAAGACACCAAGGACACTAAAGACCGCAGCCGCTAGCATCAGTCGCACAGCTCTTACTGGCCTACGTCTGTTACATTCACCCCCCTAAACCTCACTCCCATCCCGGTCACAGCACCAAATGTAACCGGCCCTACTCGACCTGCTCCGAGCGGGATTCGAACTGGTGTCTCCGGTGTGAGAGATAGTGCTAACAAGGATGCTAAAGACCACAATCGCTAGTGTCAGTCGCTAGCGCGCCTCTTGAACCCAGGGGAGTGAGGTTTACACGCACAGCTCTTACTGGCCTACATCCATTACACTCAGCCCCCTAAACATCACTCCTTCCTGGGTCACAGCACCAAATGTAACCGGCCCTACTCGACCCGCTCCAAGCGGGATTCGAACTGGGGCCTCCGGCTTGGGAGGCGCACGCGCTAACAAGGACACTAAAGACCACAGCCACTAGTGTCACTCGCTGGTGAGCCTCTTGAACCCAGGGGAATGAGGTTTACACGCATGGAAAACAATGACAGGTAATAGTGTTCTTTTCTCAGCCTCGATGATATGTAGCACGGCAACTTGTTGTAGGACATTTCATCTCTTAGCCCTCCTTTTTGCTCTGTCAATCGCATAACTACATCTACATTCCATCTCCGTTATCACGAAACCCACGACACACAACAAAAACACAGCTCCGATCACGGCATCCTCAAATCCTCCAGTCATTTACATCACTTCAGAGTTCCTACTGGCTGTGCAAATGCAACCAGGAAAATGGCCCTAGGGGAAAATTTTGTTTTCGGGGGACCGCCCTGGTGGCTAGCTATAATAATTTAGTTCCTATAACTACCCGGTGCGAAAGCCCGTATATATATATATATATATATATATATATATATATATATATATATATATATATATATATATATATATATATTTGTTATATAGAAATAGTAGGCATACCTCCATTGGCATCTTGGCCCTGCAAGCCGTCGGCACTTAACACATGCACCTGGGTGACCAGCTGAGGGTAGCCGCAAATCCCAGTCCAGCATGTCTGAGGAGGCTCGTCCAGTGTTAATTCTCTGAGGAAACACAAGCAGGAATGATTTGAGCCTTTCTGGCTAGGTACCAGTGTTGTTATTAGGGATGCTACCGAAATTTCGGCTACCAAAAACTTTCGTCCGATTTTCAGTTTCGGGCCGAAATGGTTTTGGAGAGCAGAAATCAGTGAGCGAAACATGTTTAATTAGCGCTTCTCCGATGGAACATTTTGACTGTGTTCAGTGTCTATTTCGCACACACCACGTGGATAAGCTACAACAGTTAAACGTGTGAGCTGTGTGGACACTAGCTGTGGATTGACAATATTCATTTCTTTATTTTAATCGGTAATGAAATGGTTTCTTAAATTGAATATGTGATTCTGTGCTGTTTTCTGTTGAAGCATGAACAAAACTTCACTCAATATTAGCTGGCCGCCTGCCATCCGATAAACACAAGAAGCATAAACATGGGTGAACACCAGAAGCTATGCTGAAAGATACTGTACATTACAAATTACCGAAATTAATCCTGTCTCATGTAATCGCTCAATCAGTTTTTCAACTAGGGAAAGACGTCAAAACAGCTTTACATTTACAGTTGATTTAGTTACATCAAGAAAGCTATTCAATGTCCATAAACTCATTAGTTAGCTAGAAAAAATAACACTAGAGAAGAGCATTTTGCTAAATACTGTATATGCACTGAATTACATATCCATTATATTTTTACTTAAGTTAGTGATGACTTCATTATTTAATGTATGTTTAAATAAATCTGTCTTGAAAACAAATTATTACAGCCATCGTTAATTGTTTATATTTCACCAATAAATTGGAGTAGAAACATAATTCTATTATCAAAATGTTGATATAAATCTGTCTTATGTGCAAATATTTTTTTTTGTTAAACTAAAATCTGAATATTGAATTAACTTCATTTTCCAAAAATTGTAATTAATCAAAAAGTCTAATATTAATACAATTATACAAAAAAAGTAAAATGTAAAAATTTAAAAAGTAACTTTGCATCCTGAATTTTTCCGTTTCGGCCCAGAATTAAAATTTTGCTTTATCACTAAATATAATAGAATATAAATAATAGTAAAATAACACTGCCAGGTACATGTCCACAATTATTATTACATATTTCAACTGAAACTGTACATGAATATGGCAAGGGTTAAACAGGACAATGCAGTGCAGGTTGATTTTCTCAGAAAACTAATTTACTTGCAGTCTGAAGGCACATCAGTGAAGACTCTGAGCAGGAACTCTCCTTGTTGACCAGGGTCAAAGGTTGTGGGGATGATGACGTAACGCCCCTCCTTCAGCTCTTTCCTCAGAAAGACGCAGCGAGAGTTGATGTAGATCGACCCTGCGACCTTCTGCTGAGCTGTGTGCATTCTGTATTTTCTGTTCAACTCCACCTAGTGGTTGGAAAGAGGCTTAATGAAGACAGAAATATTACATGGACAGATAAAATACCATTTTTATTTATTTTTTCATTCTTATAGCATTGGCTTTAGTCTCTTATACAATATGACAGGCAGATGTGAAGGCTTGTAATGTGCTGCAATGTGAAATAAAGATATTTATGTGTGCATGTAATTCTGTACCCTATGGATGTCAAATCCAATGGCCAGGTTTTCGCCTTTGCCCTCCTTGGGAGTAGCTCTGCGTTCCTTTTGCTGCAGGCAGATCAGCACCTCATCTTCCACTTTTCTCACATCAAAAACATACTGTGGGCAGAAACATGCGATATCTTACTCTGATGAAACCCACAAGCTTTAAATGCCTCCAAGACAAGAACAACATTTTACAAGGCACATTCCCACAGGCACACTGACCTGTGGGTTTTGCAGAAAAGTGGCTTTATGGTTAATGCAGCCTCCGGAGCGGTTGCGGAGCGGGTCGTCTCGGTGGATCCAGGAGCCCCTCATCACCTCCTCCTCCCAGGTCTTATGAATGCTCAAGTAAGATGTGTTTATCAGTCGACACAGGATCAGGTCGGTGAAGTAGTGACAGAAATCCTCAAAGTTCATCCTGGTGATGCAGTTTATAGCCAGCAAGGGAAGTGAAGTTTATGATAACTGGATAATTTAGGTGTTTATCAGATGCAGTGCTGTACAACAGTCCTAAACCTGGGATTCTTGAGATTTCTCTAATAAAATCAGATTTTAAAGCAAAAGGGCAATATATTTATATAATAGATTTAGATGAATAAATTCTGTAAAAAATGTGCTTATTGTTAGTATATGATACCTAATGGAGTAATGAATGTTAATGCATTTAACCTTATTGTAAAATATTAAATAATATAATATAATATAATAATAAACACTCAACAATAGTATATTTATAAATAAATTAACATTGATCTACATTAATGCTGTAAAAAATTGTTCACTGTTAGTACATGATACCTAATGAAGTAATGAATGTTAATGAGTTTAACCTTATTGTAAAGTGTTAAATATAATATAATAATATAATATAATAAATATTTTATTATAATAAACAATGGTCTCAACTTTTGGAACCCATCTGATCAGAGACAGTGATCTAGACTGATCTAGAAGGTAAGATCAGAGCAAGCCTCACCAAAACTCTCCATCATCCTGAACAGTGACGCCCAGTTTCTCTCTCTCACTCTTGCTCACTTTCTTCCACTCCTCTGAGCTACAAAACAGACCAGTGATTACTCGGCGTATACCAGACTGTGAGAAATAAACATACACACACGACAGCACTATATACACTGACGACAGCCTGTGTCCATAACCATCAACTAAGATTTTCTAGGATGCTGTGAAAAAAATAGAGCACTTCACCAAGTATGGTATTTCTAATCAAGCCCTGAATAAATAATTCATCAAGCAGAAATATTAAGAAATATTGCTTTCACCTCAATAAGATTCTTCTGGCTAGCCAGTAAATAATTCAGAGGCCAATATAAGCCTGCCTGTAGTAGCACTTGAACAAAGAGTGATGAGAAGGATTGTCAAGATTTTCCTCTCTCCAATTACACAGCCCCATTTTAATAATATGCTCTTCGCTGCAATGGTGGATATTTAGGGTAGGTGTCATCAAACAAGTGACAACACAGTTATTTAAATGAAAGGAGGTGGATGTCTAAACACCCTCAGACCTCTGCGTTTCAATCACAGCCGCTTGCTATTTTATACCAGCCTGCCTTGCTTGATTTCTCAATTTCACACCAGCCAGCGATAAGAATAGAGACTTCAGCTATGTGTTATTTATAACAAAACCATCTCAGGAGGAGGGAGAGAAATGGTTTTCTCTAGTCTCTGAGGATGTATAGCACAACACTGCAAAAAGAGTAGAAAAGGCAAAAAAGACAAATCATTTGTGTATATGCTTGCACTGTTTTTTTTAGGGATTATTTAGAATTGACTGTTGGGAATACGTGTAAGAAGTGTCTGATTACAATGCCACATCGTAAAACAAGTGCTCTGAAACATTGAGCTTTGGCACTCATGTGGGAAATTTGGGTTTGAGTCTGGCTTGCAACTTATCTCCATTATCTCTCAACATTTCTTGTCATAAAAATGGCAATAGAAAAAAAAAGCCATTGTTGATTATTGTTGACACCATACGCCATTAAGTCCCAAACTTTATGTCAGCCTTGACCAACAATATTTACTTGAAGTACCATCTGAGATTTTATGTTAATATTTCAATAATTTTACAATACATTTGCATGTTCTTGGTTCTCTGATGTTGGTTAATCGTCCCATGAAACACAGGTAAACAAATAAAAAAAGTATTTAAAAAAATGTATTAATTCAATAATTAATTAATAAATCAATTATTAGCTTTTCGTAAACTCACAAACCCCCAAGGGTTTCATGAAGCACAGTTTGGGAAACCTGCTATACGATATGTTCTAGATGTTATAAGACCTCCAAACCAGGAGGGGGCAGTCTCACCTGTCACTCCAGGGTCCACTCCACTCCTTCTCGCCCCACGGGTTCCTCATGCGGATCATTTGTAGCTTTTCTGACTTGAAATACGCCAGAAGGCCATGTCCCAGTCGAACCTTGCGAACGTCGGTCACCGCATATGCGTGTCCTTTCACTAACCCACATTCCAGTCTTGCCTCCATGTCCTCTATTGTGGTTGCCTAAACACCGAAGGTCAAATTTCAGTTAGTTTGCTGAACACCTGACATTATGAAGTCTATCTTAAAGCATAATCATCGTTATCCTTGATTAGAATGCAAGCACAATCACTGTGTGTGAATTATCGATTATAAAAACGTGGGCATTATATTTCATGGTACAGTGAAATATAGTGATGTTAATCAGTAGGAGACAAGCCACGCCCATTTATTACAATCCAATGAACAGAGGACTTGCTGTGCAAATGAAGCTGACAATATGTATAGTTGTGTAAGCTCTATGTGACATGAATCAATTGTGTCGACATTATCAAGACTAGGTTGGAAGGACGGACGGAGAGTGACATGGAAGGACTATGTTGCGTATAAAAAGGAGCATTTTACATAAATGCAAACAGCCATTTTCTCCTGCACATTTGAACAAAAGCCCAGAATATAAAGTGAAACTTGATAAAGTTGCTTCTGTTATGAACACCAGACAATCTGCTTAAAATTACAACCCTGTCTGGTACATCAGATAATGCTGTTTAAATTGATTCCTAAATGATGCCTAACACACAATGGAGATCTCTTAGTGGACTCAAGTATTAATAAAAAAATATATATATAAAAAAGCTTTCATCTATGAAGATGAAGTTTCACAGACCATTGGTAAGCAAGTCACACACAATCAGAGATTTATTTGACTTTGAGAAAGTATACTTTTATGAAAGATAGTACATGAGAGCAGAAAAATTATGGATGGCTGGATTAATAGATGGATGAGTGTCTGAATACAAATCTTGACAAACGTGAGACACATGAGACACAATAACATGCACAAAATGTGCTCTGGGCTTCCACAATGTATTAACATGGGAATAAATATAATACTAAGTTTTCATTAAAATTTACACACAAAAAAAATATATATATAAAAAAATATGTATATAAAAATAAAATAAAATAAAATGTAAATATAGTCAGACTTGTGCAGATTATATTGCAAGTTGTATCTCTCACCCTGATAGAGCAGCTGATAAGGCCATCTCGATTATGGACCTTGAGCACTCTTTCAAAGAGCTGGTTTCTGCCGATTTCATCCTGAGCAAACTGGCCCTCCAGAAGGTCCATAGGTTCTGACACGCCACCAGTAAAGTCCACCAGGGCATCGGCCGTGTTCCCACCATCCAAGGCTTCATAGCAACCATAAACTCTTGATTGGTATAGAGAAAGAATTTAACATCACTGTCATCACATTTTAATGTTAATCTCTGTATATATTTTTTCTTAATTTGTCTGCTGCCTGAACTACTTACTTGGCATAGGCTTTTTCCACAAGGGCACTCCAGAACTCGTTGCTATCATTTGAATGGCAGTACACCAGCTGGTTGTCCACTGTGGGGAGACGGTCATCGATCACCACGTCCACCCAATCCCCAAACCGCCAGAAACGGAAGTGGAATATTCCTGCATAAGAGTCTTCCTTCTCTGGATCCCATTCCTGCTCCTTCCAGTCTGGAATAACCTTGAAAGACACGAAAGTGACATGTAGTGCTTACTAGAAGTGGTGACAAATCACAAACCTATTTAGTGTAGTTATTATTATTTATAAACTATTATAGTATTTATTCATATTTTAAATTTGCTTTTATTTTTATATTTACAGTCTTCATTTTAATTTTAGTTTAAGTCTTAGTAAATGTGTTATGTGCTTTTGTCATTTTTATAATTTTTTTTTTTTTTTTCAGTTTAGTTTTAGTGTGCTTTTTCATGTTTTATTTAAACGTCAACTACTGTGAATGTTATTTTTTGTTGACCTAAATATGTTCGCAGACTTAAATCATTTTAATTTTAATCAGAGGGATATGGACTAAAATTAATTAAATATGACATGAAAAAATATTGACTAATTTTAAACTATATTTTCTCTTCATCAAAAGAAAAAATATGACAACAACACCAAAAAACTGTATACAAATGAACACTAAACCAGATGAATTTCCAATATTGTTGCAGTGTAATATTCAATGGATCATTGAGTATCACTTTAAATGTTCATAAATGCAGGTAGATGCAGGTTTTCCTCAATGTTAAAGTCTATTGTGGGTAGGACACCAGGGTGATTTGGAAACTGTATAGCAGAACTACATCTCTTTCACCTCTGGGACAGTACAGAGATTAGATTTCAAGTACACCTCTGTGGTAATTGTTCCAAGAGAAGCAGGTCCATTATCTGGACACTGTGATACTGACTGCAGGTGAAGTGCACAGTCCTGTTAACCTCTAACAGAATCAGCTCCTGTTCCAGGTAAACTTTATGGACACGTGAATGTAAAACAAACACACATGTAGCAAACACAGATGTCTCAAATTCCCTCTTGAACCCGGCATTGCTGTTGCCGAGAGCAACAAACATCTAAACAAAAACTCCCAGTGTGAAATAAGTTGGTTTCAGAGCGCAAAGGCTCATTGTGGCACTTACGGCAGAAGACATCAGCAGAGAGCCGAGGAGGTCACACGGTGGATAACAAGCCTAATTTGGCAAGGCAAGAAAAGAAAAAGAAAAACAAGGAGAAGAAATTTGCAGTCAGGTTTCAAAACATCTTCACTAGGAACATGTCTCTTGAGTTGATGTTCAACCCTGATATACAGCTGACAGAGATCATGAGTCTGCGCGTACAGTCTCTGCAACAGCGGGGACAGAAACGCCAGGACGGAGAGCGTCTACTGAGGCTCAGTGAGCGCGTCTACCGCCTGGACTTCTCCGAACAGGCCCTGCATTTCACCCGCTGGAACATCCGCATGTCCACCCCTGGCCGCCTCAACATCATTGCCACCTCCCAGCTCTGGACGCCCGACCTCACCTATCTCATGACCCGCCAGCTCCTCGAACCGACAGGGCTCTTCTGGAAAAGTGCAGACGACGATCTCATCCAATGCTATGAGGCTGATGCCCAGGAGTTCGGCGAGAGGATAGCCGAGCTGGCCAAAGTCCGTAAGGTGATGTATTTCCTGTTCGCTTTTGAAGACGGCTTGACTCCGGAGAGCATCGACTGCTCCATTGAATTCCAGATCTCCAAGTGAGAGAACCTGAAGGGTACGACAGCTTTATCGGTCTGCTTAACCTAGACCTAGTACTTTAAGTAGTTAGACCATAAAATTATGTTCCTAAAGACCTATAAAGTTATGACAAAGCCATGAACATTTTATGCAATGTGATGAGCTGTATCTGTGTGATTGATTGTTCATGTTTAGTTGTTTTTGTGACTGTGATGAGACTGTAATGAAGTTAACCCACAATAAATCACACTAATAATTCAAGAAAATCTAATTTATTCATGAATAAAAGTAAAACTTGTGCTTTTAGTAGTCGTAGCCATTAATCCATTGAATAATTGATGCAAATGACTTTACTGGGTTATGATGGCAGTGTCCTTGAGCAGTGGTTCTCAATCTTTTTGACTCCATGGTGCCCCAATGTCCGCAACAATATTCGAAAGCCACATGATTCTTCCAGTTGTTCATGATTTTCTGGATAAGGATTAACTTAAGGATAATTTAAAAAAACCAAATAATAATAATTATATATATATATATATATATAAAGTATATTTATAAAATATATACAAATGCCCAAGATTTTATTCATTTAAAAGACTTTTCCAGATTTAGAAATTACACTTTTATAATGAGACAGACTACCTGAGGTTTTTCTAGACTGTGGTAATACTGCTTCTTTAAAGAAAAGTTGAGGGTGTGAATTTAATTTGAGTTGTTTGGTTTACTTCGAATGCTTGTTTTGTCTTGTTTTAAATTATTTTAAGTTATCTTGTGGCCGCCTTGGAAGTTTGCTGAGGCCCCCTGGTTGCGAGCCACTGCCCTTGAGGATGTATCCGTGCTGAGTGCATGTGATTGGGTGGGATAAAAGGTTACTGCAAAGACACAGGGCATAGATAGTATCACACACACACTCTCATTTATCAATGCCCAATCCTGTCAGGAAAACAAATGGCAGGACCGGGGAGAGGAGTCCCATTGGAAAGCCCCATAAGTCATCTCCTTCATGGTGATGTGTTTCTAGGGGAGAGGAAATGTTTCCCCAGGCAGGAGAAAACACCTCGCACACTGGGGAGGATGCAGGGAGACTGAAACTTAACATTTATGACTAATTAACAGCTCAGAAAACGATAGCACTCTTTACCTGTCTACCACCACCAAAGCTACAAACAGAAACTGAGAAACAGTTACAGTAGTACCGGCTGGGACTACAAGGTTAGTGTGTGTGTGTGTGTGTGTGTGTGTGTACATTCATGAAGCCACAGGTGAGCAGATCTCTCCCCTGTTTAACCATCATAGGTAATGGTTTCTAATAGAGCACACAGCTCCTATGGCAGCCTACAACTTACAGCTGCTAATAGAGCTCAAAGAGACCGTTTTACTTACAGCTTAACACACTCAATATATAAGATAACATATAGATATTTTGACAGACAAGGCTTGACATCAACTCCCGCCAAATGCGGCTGTATTTCAGCAGTGGCGTGTAACACACTCATTCCTACTAGCCACATTAGCGAGTTTAATTTTATATGTAATATATCCATTTTTCAATTGTAGTCTTTTAAAAAGGCATCTGAAATAATAAACGTAAAATAAATAAAAGTGCAATGTAGTGTTTTTCTAAACATATCGATACTGAAATATCTGAAACGCTTCCAATACTCATTTTCCGCAGAATAGATACACGATACCAGCAGCGCTTTCTCTGTCTCTCATGATCTCTCCAACTGCAAGTTGACACACAAACCCGCCTCTCCTCACTCACTCCTTTCATTTGCTCCGGATGAATATTGTTGGTGTTACAGGGCTTGAATTTCGGTGCGGGTTTGCACATTTTGCGCATAATTTTACTCAAACCCAAAGTGTGAGCACATAAAGCCACCTCTCAGTACTAAATTGAGTTAATTTACCCTGCTTGTTGTGCTTAAACAGTTATATACACACAAAATAATACCAAAATGCTGGTCTTGGCGAGTATTCACATAAACACAGTTATGTTTTGAATGTTCACAGTTTAAGTGAACGTAAACAGTTGAGAAAGAAAACGTGTGACAGTATAATGGATCAGTGAGCGCATTTTCATGCGCGTTCTTAAGCCGATTATGCTTAATAAACCGAAAACGCACGTGGTCATGCAAACTCGGTATTCTTTTATCGGAGTAAGGTCATAAACGGCTTAAGCTTAAATTGGTTGACACAGGTAGTTTTTTGCCTCTTACTTCGATTTCGCACGACATGTAAACGCATTAACCTGTTTTCTGTCGGCTTATTGAAGTGCGCATGTGTGATGTGTGACAGAAACGCGTTCTTAACGCAGATTTAAACACATCCAGACAGAGCGAGCATTTTGCAGGTAAGGAAGAAGGAAATATATCACAAACGCAGACTCTTTCATGACCCAGAAAATGGTCAAAATGTGCTCTCATCTCATGCAGCAGAAGTAGAAGTGGTTCAGTCAAAACGTTGCATCTGTAACTGCATGAAAAGGTTAATATATGAGCTGTAAGTTTCCCGCTGATGTTGCAAGCTTTATTTAACATCACAACCAACATAACAAATGAAATACTCAGCGTCAGATACGCAAATCATTATGTTTTGGTATCACACAGGGGCATGACCTGATTTATAAATAAAGTCATGTATATGCAGTTTACATGCATTGTCAGGTTACTGGTTTACATGTAAACGGGGAAAACCACTATCCACAGTGGCTGGTGAGCAAAAAAAGTGAATGTCAAGCCCTGCTGACAAAACAAGCAGGTTTTAATCCGTCAATGCAGGTCTAATGGGAGACCTATGCAGGCATGCAGTATAAAAGGAAAAGTGATTCATGCATCATTTTGTACTTGCTGAGCAAAACCTGTTTCTATTGGGAAACCCATTTAGCCACCAATGACATATTATGATATAAATATAATAAATTCTTTACTTCTATACATTATTATATAATTCTATAATTTTTCAAGAATTATAATATATATATATATTATATAAATATATGAATTTTGATTTTGAATCATAAATACAAAAATAAAACGAACAATAAATAATGTATACAAGAATTCATATATTATATAAAATATATAAAAATATAAGATTAAATATTATTAATAATATCAAGTGAAAAGTGAATCAAAAGTCTAAATATCATTATTGCATTTTATTCAAAATCCATAAATTAATTATTCACAATATATTTGTCTATGTAATTTATTTTATTATTAGATTGACTGACATATATATAACTATTATTTACTTATCATATAATCTAACATATTGATTTTATTATTATTATTTAAATGGCCTCCATATTCAAGGATGCTGTCCTTATCTTGCAAATGAATGTTGAGTATTTCCACACAATCTTCTCACAGTTGCACTTCCATACTGAAAACCAATGGACATTAAGACGGACTCCATTTTAAATGCTGTTACTTCATTTAGCTCTGATTCAAGAAATCTCTAGCTTTTACCCAAATATTTTGGTATCTCTGGACTTTTTCCGTCTGCGCGGGAGCAAGGTCGCAGCTTAGAGGGAACATTGCATACAGTAATGTTCATAGTCATACACACGTTTACACACTCCACTAACTTACTTTCTGCCACAGAGACTCTCTGGAAGCCAAGCTGGTGCAGGCCGCCACAAACCAGCAGTTTCCCAGCTGCCCTTGGTGCAGATCATGGGCACTGATCCCATCCACAAACAAGTGAGGATCATCGCACAGCTCCTGATGGAGAAACAGACACAAAGAGAGAGAGAGAGAAATAGGAGTGTGAAATTGGTGAGAAGAAGAAGAAAAAAATCATTGCGTGAATAGCAAACATGCCCCCAGGGTAAAAAAGATATATTTTAAGAAAGACTGCAAAGACCATGGGCCAGATTTACTAAACAGGGCAAATTTGCGTAAGAGCGCAAAACCAAAAAAGCTGGGATGGGATGGGAGAGGAAAGTTCTGCGCATGATCTACTGGCAAATGAAAGAACACAGACACAGCGGGATCATTTCCATAATGACCAACGCAATCTACCAAGAGCAGCGCAAATTAGCTTTTGGTTCAAGACATGCATTTTTTTGGTCGTTAAAGAATGGCGCAAATACCAGTAAATTGACAAGTGCAAACCTTAGCAAATCACCTTGCATGATTCATTTAAATACTCTCCTCCCATAAATTTTGCATCTGAAAGGGAAACTCCTACAAATGCATATGCAATAAGGTCAGCCGCAAAAATAACCTTGTCCACGCCTTTTTAGCGCAAATTTTTCACTGTGTCTTTAGTAAATCCTGTTTTTATCACCAAAAGAGGGTTTGCGCTGGAGCAAGCTGTTATTAAATCTGGCCCCTTGTCTAAAAAATATAGTTTATTTTGCTTCATTTTGATTAATGAAAAGAAGTGAAAACACAAAAAGTACTTGAAAAAGACAGAAGCAGGGCACAGGCTCTTTAATTAATTTAATAATAGTTATGAATGTAGATGAAGTAGTGCAGCGCTGAAAGCTGTTATAAATCAAATGACTTTTGCTCTGACAGCATCCAGCACACCTCTGCACCGGCCTCGTCACAACCACACATAGCCCAGAAACAACGGGGAAGAAGGAGTGAGATTTGTAGTGACCTAAAAGTCTTTACTTTTGGGTCCCTTTAAACAGCTGACATACACTGGGCACAGTGACAGCTGCAGAGGGGAATGTAGCAACTCACAGGCTATAGCTCATTCTGCCTCCGTGTTAAAGATCTCTCAGAGGAGCCGCCACAAATGAGCCCTGGTAAAAGACTAAATGCTTTAATAAGCACCTAACAAACCTGTAATACCTTTTAAAAGCTGATTCTTCAGACAGACGGATAGATAGATAGATAGATAGATAGATAGATAGATAGATAGATAGATAGATAGATAGAAATAAATAAATACAGACAGAGAGATTCAATGGCTCATTCATATAGAAAGCCATTTTTAGCAGTTTGAACTAATAGAATGAATAAATGAATGAATAAAAAAAACACTGTTCCAGTGTTTTTTTTCCCAGTTGTCATGTCTTATCTCGCCTAAGAAGCCAGGATTCCCTAAAAATCCATATGAGCAAGACACCTCTCCTGGTTCGTTTTTCCTCTGGAGGTATAAAATACATGTTCTCACAGTCCAAGTTCTCACTTTCACAACACTCATTTGTCTTTCATATTGTGCTATCCGAAATCATTTCCACAGCTCAGCAGGCGAGGACTCTCCTCGCTATCCGGCCGGCACACATCCAGCCCAGCACTCACACCAGCAACATTTCATTCTTTCAGCACTGGGCTTCTCTCACCTCCTCAACAACTCCTGCAAACTACTAGAGATGAGACATGTCATCATGCCCCCATGGTGTGTGAGAACGAAGTGCAATGATGTCAAATTGATGAGGCAAAACACATACACACTGCACACGCCAGACACACTTCTCCATTTCAGAGCCAAGAAACCCAGACGCGCGACACAGAATCTCTGTTTTTGTTTGTGGCCTGCATATAAAGCTTGATACACTCACAGTGCATGACTGATTTTCCATCAGACCCTCTGATATTACCACTCTGTCAGTCATTACAGAATGTTATTCAGTCAAAGCTTGATTCAAACAGACAGGAATACAAATTCGGTTTGGTGCGGCGAGTTGGTTCAAGCCGCTGTCGTCCCTCTAAAAGCAATGCTAGGTCATTTTGAGTTTCATTGATCTGAATAAATATCAATCCATCATAACGTGATTAATTGCTGCCTTCTCATTTCTGACAGTTCTTTGGATGAAGCAATGAATCTAACAAATCTATTACAAACCTTCAAAAGGGCTCTGACTTCAGATTAATCAATAAAACACTTGTCTAATATACGTCAGTTGAGTGTGCGTTTGAGCGGAGAAAAAAAACACATGAAAAAAGAGACATAGCTAAGCAAAAACCATCAAGAAAAGGTATTTTACAGATCTAAATCAAATGAGCTGCCTTGCTGTCTACTCTCTACAAACACAGCTATCTAAGGCTGAATCCAAACTGAAATAGTTTACAAATAGCATTGTTTACATAGGCAGTGAATACAGCTCTGTTCACTCTGGCATTAGCATGTTGCTAAGCTAATCCCATCATAGGCTACATAAATGGTAATTAAATCATGCTAACTGCTTTCATCTATTTTTTCAGTATTTAATGATTTTTTGCCCTCAACATTTTACATCCATTTTGGTTGGGACAGACATTTTCACCAAGCTCATCCATACATTAACAATGTTCATTTGTCCAAAAATCTTTGAAGGCAATATAATGATGCTGACTACAATGTTGTTATTGTTAACTAATACTAAAACTATTAAAAACGTTTTCAGCAATTCAAATAAAGCTGAAATAAAATAAAATAGAAATCTTTGATGAAAAACCTAAAGTTAAAAACTTGCATTGTTGCATTGGCAACAAACTAAAATAAAGTTGACATACTAAAACAGAAATGAAAATGCATTAAAGCTAAATATAAATATAAAAAAAATATATATATAAAAAAAAAATCCCTGCTGAAAAAACTTCCTCAAACAGCCTATGATGGTCTGAGCCCAAGGGGGTAATCCATCGACCGGATGTTGAAGCCCGCCGGGTGCCGCCATGTTGTAGCAGAACTTCACTTGCGTTAGCATTTCCATTGAATCCCATTCATTTTGGCGTCACTTTGACAGCGAATAACTTTACATCTGAGGCGTTTAAAGACTCCATTTGTCCATTATTTATTTCTAAAGAAACACGACAATGTATAAATGGCTCCATTACCTTCTATGTTACATTATGGCCCCGTAGAAACAGATTTAGTAAAAATAAGCTAACGATTGCGTCATAACCACTCGACTCTCTGTCGCGCTGTACAGAAATTACCGTACAGACAGGAGGAGAAGCTCGCAGGCAATCGGGGGGACGTCCCGTCAAGGGAGAAGCCCATAGATAATGAGTCCATAAAAGCAACGGAATACTTACTCCTGCTCACTCACGCCAAAGAACTCTTTGCTCAAGTTCCCCGTCTCTGCAAGATTAACGTTGGCAATTTTCACGCACAGCTACTAGAAGATTCACGTCTGTCAGACAGGTTGCTCACGTCATCAAGCTTAGTTTGAGTCGGTTTGAGTCTGCGCGTCAGGAACGGAAGTGCTCAAAAATCGCTAAAAATGGGCTTCAACTGTCTCAACTGAGTTCCAATGAGATGGCTCTGTCCATTTCTTATACTGTCTATGTCTGAGCCTCATCAGGCTGGTCTGTTGGCTGTTTTTTTTTTTTTGGCCTTATGATGCCTTAAAATGTTTTTTTGTTTTTTACAACAGGCAGCTCACTATAGGTTACCTCCAGTCAGGCTAACCTATAGAAAACCTTAATAGGCCCCTGTTGCCTGTTGCACTAGTGTGCAATACATCAATCTTTATTTGACGAGCATTTAGTCTTTTCAGTTTTTTGCGATTACCTTCACAGCTAAAAAGCCTGAAAATGGACATAGTATCTAAAAATCCTTCACAAGTCCATTGTCTCCCCTGTTCACTCATGGAACAAAGGACCCTGAGACAAAGACACTGACAGAGAGAAAGAAAAGATATTGTTTGTGTGTGAATGCTCTCTTCAGAGGAGGTTTTTCAGTGTTGTGGGTGGAGTATTGAGTGTGTGTGTGTGTGTGTGTGTGTGTGTGTGTGTGTTAAGAGGATGGGTGAGCTGACTGATTCGAGTGCAAGGTCATTTGAGTTATAGCTCGCCTTACGAAAAAGAAGTTTATTCAAGTGTGCTATTAGTATACTTCTTTTAAACTAAAAATAAGAAAGTATACTTTCAGTCTACTTTTTATGTACTTCTCAGAAATATACTTCAAGTTGCACTTAAGTATACTTGCAGTATAAAACTACTAAACTAATATTTTACTGAGAGTACACTAAAAGAGCAAAAAGAATATATAATTAGTAAACTATAAGTATGATGTTAAGTTCACTTAAAGAAAACTTGTAGTATAAAACTACTAAACTAGTAGTTTACTGAGAGTATACTTCAAAGTGTACTTTCATAAACTAAAAATTTGCTACAAGTATTAAAATAGTAAACTACTAGTATACCCATAAGTTCACTTGATGTATAAATAAGAAACGTAATTATGAAGTAGTTGTGCACTTAAAGTTTACTAATGTTACACTTATAGTACACGTAAACATATACTTTTATATACTAAAAGTGGGCCAATTTAGTCCCAAGCGGTATTAAAATAGTACACTTACAAGTTTACTAGTACATATTGACATTAGTATACTTACTACTACATAATTATACTTAAAAATATACTTGAACATTACTTAAGTATACTTCATAAAATGAACTATTTTTCGTAAGGGTCAGCACTCCAGCCTCTGCGAACACACACACACTTTTAAATCACAGATCAAAATGGCATCCAAGGGGCAACCCTCTCCTGCGGCTTGGAATTTCATGTGTGTGTCCGCTTATTTCGCATTATTTCATGTATTGAGAGTTCACACACTAATATGAGTCATACTGACTCTTGTCTTGGCCAGCTTTGAAAGAGAAGACAAATCGGACAGCCAGAACAATCACAGAATCAATGAACACAAACTCCCGACACCAGTGAGCCCACAGTTTGGATAAATGACCGTCTATCACCCATTCCACTGGCTTCAACTCATAAAACACAGTTTTTCTTCTCTTTGGAGAGTGGAGGTGGCCTGAAATGGCAGGAGAGGAGGCAGAAAAGGAAGCGGGTGGGAGGGAGGAATGGTAAGTGGTTAAAAAAGCGTGTTCAAGGACCCAAGGGGGGAAAGACAGTGAAATATGAAGCAGCTGCGGTGAACTGCATTAAAGCTCCTAATGGCGTTTACTCATTCAGAGTGATTTGTGGCAATGTCTTCAATCACGTCAAACATGCAGTAAGGAGCATTTCATTTTTACAGTTCAGGGACAACAAACAACATGTCAACGTGTGAAATCATTAGGCTCCTCCTTGATGTTGAGTGATTTAAAGTCAACAAGGAATTAAAATTGCCACCATTTACTTTATTAATACATGTTCTTTGCCTTATTGAGGATGGTTTATCCACATGTTATTCTAAAGAAAAGTAATGTTTTTTTTTGTAATCTTTTATAAAAATTTAACAACTTTCTCTGTGAAGCATAATAGCTATTAGTTTAGCCAAGTAGCTGAGCAGTCTTTCTACCATTCAGAATTGTAGGGTCAGTATGATTATTGATGCTGTAATAATGCTGTTCTTTTGAACTTTCTATTAATCAAAGAATGCATCACGGTTTCCACAAAACTATTAAGCAGCACAACTGTTTTCAACATTGATAATAATAAGAAATGTTTCTTGAGCAGCAAATCTGCATATTAGAATGATTTCTAAAGGATCATGTGACACTGAAGACTAGAGTAATGATGCTGAAAATTCAGCTTTGCCATCACAGGAATAAATTTTAACATATACATATAAACATATAAAAATAGAAAACAGTTCTTTTAAATTGTAAAACTATTTTACAATATTAGTAATTTTACTTTATTTTTGATCAAATAAATGCAGCTTTGGTGAGCTTATAAGGATTCTTCCAAAACATCAAAACATTTTACAAACCCCAAACTTTTGAACGTTAGTGTAGTTAAAGTATAGCTTGAGAGTGCATGTGTAGCAAGACAAACATACAGTAACTTGACAGAACCGTAATAAACCATAAAAAAAGTACATCAAATCTCAAAATTCCAAAATATTCCCCACAGTTCCGTTAGCATAAAAAAAAAGATGAAGCAGGAATCCAGATGCAAAAAAAGTCTGATTATGATTAGTCAGTCTCTAAGGTCTTATGTATCACTACAACACAATGAATGTTATATTTGCACTGTCTGCACTTGATTCCTGTATTCCCATATTCCCTGCTGCTGCTCCTGTGGTCATTAAGAGGGTGAAGATTTTAGCTGTTAAACGTTGAATTGCGGTACAGACAGAACAGATCGTAGTGTTGACTTCAATAACCTGTATTAATGGCCACAGGAGCTGCTGTGGTGCAATTCAGACGCCCCTTCACTGGAAGTGTGAATGAGATTCTGGGTCGGGCATCGTTCCAGGAGTGAGTGAGTGAGTGAGAGAAAGAGATAATTGACTTGGACAGGCTTGACACTTAGTATGCCCCTGGGCAAGACAGGCGGGGGGAGTATCACATTCCTAGCATCTCTGGGATTCGAAATGTTACAGATAGTTTTTTAGGAAGCTGCAATGTATCATTAACTCAGTAATGAAGCACAGGAAAACCATCATGATGCTTCAAGAAGCCTGTTGATGGCTGTTTCCCCACAGCCATTGAGGTTTTACAGATCTAATGTGTCCTTGTGGACTAACATTGACACTGTATGGTCAAAAACAACCCTGTGTAACAATTCTCAGAAAAAACAAAGCCCAAAACAAAACAAAAACTGTAATTTAGTTTTGGAATTTCTGTGTCATCCGGTGATGGATGGACAGACCTCCATTATGGATGAATGCCTCAGGCTGACCTTTCCTTTTGCCTTGGCTTGACTAACACAGATTATTAATTATACTTATGATGAATCACGAACGATATGTTACTGATCAACATATATATTGCTCGATAACAAGCAGAATCCTATTTTTGCATCTTGCTGAGCGTATAGATTATAAGAAAAAAGAAAGATAGCATGCATATATTTTTGCAACTGTGAACACTAAAGCACATAAACTACATTTAATGAAATGCATTCATTATTTAAGCATGTATAAGTCATTTAAGCAGTATTAGCAAGTGGTTACAAACTTGTTTTGTCTTACACTATTATTCAAGGTGGGGGTCAGTATTAGATTGTTTCATGTTTTTGAAAGAATTCTCTTTAATTTACCATGGCTGCATTTATTTGATCAAAAATATAGTAAAAACAGTAATATTTTGAAATATAACTGGTTTCTATGTTTATATATTTAAAAAAGTAATTTATTGCTATGATGGCAAAGCTGCATTTTCAGCATCATTACTCCAGTCTTGAGTGCCCCATGATCCTTCAGAAATCATTCTAATATGCTCAAGAAACATTTCATATCATCAATGTTCAAAACAGCTGAGCTGCTTAATATTTTGGTTGAAATCGTGATATGTGATATATCATCAATATTCTTTGATGACTAGAACGTTTAAAAGAACAGCATTTGAAATAGAAAAATGTTTTTAACATTATAAATGTCTTTTATGTCACTTTTGATTAATTGAATGCATCCTTGCTCAATAAAAGTATTCATATATATATAAACATATTTATAGTTGTAAACTCCCAAGCTCAACCGGTAAGGTCATTTTGACTCATTTTATAGGTTTTATAATTCCTGTAGCTGAAACAGCAGACTAGCACAAGCTGAGCAAAACGTATACGGTAGAATTATGCATAAATAATGTAAATGGATTTACTTTAAAAGGAATTGAATGTGTTAATTTTTAAGGTTCTGTTTTAAAGGTTTAATAAAGCTAAATCAATATCTTTCCAACCTGGAATCTGCTTAAGAGCCTCTTGGGAACCTGGGAATCACAAGCAATGCAGGCCTCCTGTTTGTCTCATTCACATTGCTATCTGCTAAATGAATAATTGCCAATGTAAATGGTGAGTTCTAAGCACTGACCGCGGGTCTTTTCCAGTGCACACGGCCAATCCTGTTACCCAGGTAGAAGAGCGAGTCGTCCACGGACGGAAACAGTGGGTCCTCAAACAGCGCTCCACTCTGTAGACACTGCCTCTTGAGGGTGGAGTAATGCTGCCCCTCAAAGGCCTTCACAGACGAGAACATCTTTCAGCCTACAGAGGGACAACACAAACAGAGAGAGAGAGAGAGAGAGAGAGAGAGAGAGAGAGAGAGAGAGAGAGAGAGAGAGAGAGAGAGAGAGAGAGAAATGCCAATGTAAGACAGATGCAGTACAGAAACAGTACAAGGTGCTCTTGCTGCTGTAAAGATCTCATCACCTTCTTTTTCAGGAACATTATGTGCATATTATAATTGCATGCATGACTTTCTAGCTTGGTGTCTGTTCATATTGCTCACAAAAACAAGTAGACTGTATTCTCCAGTTCTATAATTATTGGGTGGCTTTATGCACTTTCTGGAAGTATGGAAGAACTGGTTTTAGTAGGTTGAAACGTCTGACAGGTTAGCAGCATCAAATCTTTTGTTTGAGGCACTTGAGCTAACTAGATATTTACAGGCACAAATGTATATTCCGTTTAGTTTTTTTGAAGTTGACCATCATGTCATTATTTGAATTCATTTTTCCATATTGATCTAATATTAAGTTTCATATACACTACTGTTCTAAAGTTTGGGGTCAGTATGAGATTTCTTTTAAAGAAAATATTACATTTATTCAGCAACGACGCATTAAATTAATCAAAAGTGACAGTAAAGAAATGTTAGCAAAGAATTATATTTCAAATAAATGCTGCTTTTTAAACTTTCTATTCATCACAGTATCATAAAAAAAAGTTTATCCCTGTTTCCACAAAATCATTAAGCAGCAAAATTGATTTTCGAGATGTTAATAATTAATAAAGTTAATAAAGAAATGTTTCTTGAGCAGCAAATCTGCATATTGGAATGATTTCTGAAGGATCATGTGACACTGAAGACTGGAGTAATGATGCAGAAAATACAGCTTTACCATCAGAGGAATATAACATTTTTAAATATACTGAAATAGAAAATACCTTTTTTTAAATTGTAATATCTTAAAATATTACTGTTTTTACTGTATTTTTTTATCAAATAAATGCATCATTGATGAGCATAACCAAAAATATTTTCTTTCAAAAACAACCCCAAACTATCGAAGTACTGTATATCTTAAATGCCAAATACAATAAAACAAACTCTATTTGATCGTTACACATTGGTCACATTGGTCAGATGTCTAAGTGGGCAGTTCTGGGTCAGAATAAGCGGCATTGTGGACCAAACAAAGTCATACGTGTGCACCTGGCCAGACTCCATGAAAACGCAATTAGACTTGACACACAAAAGATTTACGATGACAATGAAACTGCTTTTTAGAGATTGATTGGAAGGAACACGTCGCTCTAATCTTGACAATCTACAAGCCACACTTACTCTGTCTGGCATGAGGAGATGAAGTCAGACGGCAGGAACTGTACCTGCAGAACAACCATGTCACTGTGCCCCGGCACTGCTGTGACACTTTGCTTTAAATCCAGGTTGAACTGGAATGTATCATTACAGAGTTGTATTCACCACAGAGACTGGTAGAGTAAAAGCGATGCCTACTGGGATGAGTGTGTTGGATTAACACACCTCTTCCACTGACTGGGGAATACCTTTTTTTGACTGAATGAGTCTATCTATTCAAGAGTTTGAAAGTAGTTCAGATGACATCTTATCCAGAAACACCACGCCATTTATGTTCAAATGTACAAAAAAGGATCCTTCCGTCCATTTCTCTGCACATTTCCGACGACTTGTCTAAAAAGCATGGGCAGTCTGTCAATCACAGCTCTCTCAGAGGCTAGTTTTGAGAGCCGAGCTGCGGTGAATTATTCATCTCCATTCCCAGACCTTCAGGAACATTAATTATGTCTTCAGCTTTCTGCCCATTTTCTCAGCACTAATGACAGAAAACCCTAGCTTATGTCATTCTACCGCCACATTTACACCATTTCTGCAGAGAAAACGTAAAGACGCAATATCAATGTTAGCAAATGAAGCTTCTTCCATATCGATGATCTCGTTAATTGGCGATGATAATAATGATATCATATTTGCATGTTATACAAACAACATAATGATAAATTATGTTCATTAAAGGAATGTTGTGGATTCAATACAAGTTACATAAGCTCGACAGAATTTGGAGAGTAATGTTGACCATCAGTGTTGTTACTAACTAAAACTATTAAAAATCAGTTCCTTTTTTAAATAAAGCTCAAATAAAATAAAATAGAAATATAAAAACAAAAACTTAAAAAAACGTATAAAAATAAAATTGACGAAAGCACTTAACAAAATAACGAAAAACGAAATTTTTAATATAGGGCCTAAACATAAATGTCGATCAAAATGTTAATACATACTATATTTTTTTTAAATGATTACCACAAATAATTTCTCCATTTTATTAAAGAAAAGCTAAATCAATGTTACAGTGAGCAACTTAACACGAAGCTTATTACATGAAATCTTCTGTTGAAACAAGTGTATTATTTGTGCTCGTAAACTGCTTAAGTTATTATTTTTAATGTTTACATTTATTCATTTAGCAGAAGCTTTTATCCAAAGTGACTTTCAGTTGAGAAATACAACAAGCAATATATCTAAAGAGGCAATAAACATAAGCAGCACAATTAATGCAAAGTTTCAGTCATCGTTCAAGTTAGGAAAAGCTAGAACCGGGAGGGATTAAGGAATAGTGAGAGCATAGAGGAAGTAATAATGAAAGCATAGAGGAAATATAGTATCTATAAAAAAAAAACATGTTCAGCCTCCAGTCAAGTCACAGAAGAGATGATATTTCAGCTGTTTCTTGAAAATTGTGAGGGATTCAGCTGTCCGAATGTGGTTGGGAAGATCATTCCACCAGCAAGGAACAGTGGTCCAGCCTCGAAATGAGAAGTTGTGTTGCAGGCTCAATTAGGAAAGGCCTGATCATCCTGATGTTGTGCAGTGCTACAAATTCATTTCCATTGTAAGTGCCTCATTATGCACCAGATTTTTGCTTCTTCTTTTTTTTCAAGAAATGTGGTAATCTATTTTTTGTGGAAATCAACATTAGCCCACAAATGCAGTTGACTGAGCTTAACTTACACTGAACCCTGAATTTTATAGCATCTCTTCTTTCTTTTTTTTAACAGAGAACTTGTGAGTGCATGGGTAGGGACTGGTTAGGTACTGGAAACGCTGTTAACTTGATTGTACAGTACACTTGACTGGAGAACCGGGGGAAATGAAAACACAGCAGTTGGACTGCCAGCACAGCAGATGGTGCCTGCCTTGTCTCGTGACTGACTCGTGACATCAGTGAGATGTCCACCACACAAGCAAACGGTCTCTCCTCTACACGGTCCTCCTGACGATAGGAAGCATGTAGGCAGTGCTGATGCTTGCAAGTGGAATTCAAACTTCGGGGTACCAAACAGTACAACTGAGGGATTAAAGTAGCAAGAATATTATGTGATTATGCATCTGTTCAGAAGCACCATATAGGCCTTATGAATTTGCAATGTTAAAACTAAGCTTAATGACAGATGTAATGTGCCAATTGAGACCGATAGAGGCCTTTTGACTCTCTCTCACACCCAACTTATGCACCGCTAGCTCATAAAAGTTTATAAGCGGGGTAGTGGAATGATGTGGTTTATGGTCTGGGCTCGATTAAGCATTGCGCTTCATTTGAAAAAGAAAAAAAACAAGAGTGAGACCCAGAATATTGAGTTCCTGAAGAAAATGCACTGTATGAATCCCACGAGACAGCAGGGGCAACATGGTGCACTACCTACTGAAACTCCTACTGTGCATTAGAAGTGTAGGTGGTAAAAAGAGTGAGAGCGCAAGAGAGGAAGCTGCACTGGAATAGCTGGCAGAGAAACAGTGTGCACCAAAGAGCTTGATGAAAACCCCCTCCCCTCTCCGACAAATCATCATTTCAGGGTATCCCACCTGCGTCACTGCAGCCACCTCATGAATACATTTAGTATGTCATCTCACCAGCCATACAGTACACCTAGAATCACCCCAGTACTCCATGACTCCTTATGCCTAAAACATGCATTGCTAAGTCCATCACTATCGCAAAATATGCTCAATTCAAAATGTACTGCAGACAGTGTTGGATGTCTCAACACTTCTGGATATTACTTCTTATTTATTTGGTGTCACAAACAACAATAATTGTGTACTGTTTTGACAGAAATACACATAAAAATCACAGAGGAACATCCTCAACCCATTCTGGTAACACTTTACAATAAGGTTAATTAGTTAACTACATTAGTTATCATGAACTAATAATGAACTGCACTTCTACAGCATTAATTCATCTTTGTTAATGTTAATTTCAGCATTTACTAATACATTATTAAAATCAAAAGTTGTATTTGTTAACATTAGTTAATGCACTGTGAACTAACATGAACAAACAATGAACAACTGTATTTGTATTAACTAACGTTAACAAAGATGAACAAATACTTTAACAAATGTGTTGCTCATGGTTAGTTCATGTTAGTTAATACATTAACACTCTTTTCACTAAACAATGAACTAGTTTGAGCCCTGCTGGAAAATACAATTTGGTGGTTGTTATTAGATGGTGGTTGTAATTTGGAACACGGAGGCTGTTTTTTAGCTAGTCTAAAATAATCATCATTAGCTTGTAAATAAACCAGCTGCTTGTTAGTTATTACATGTATGGTGGTTAAGCTGGTTTATATAATATGGTGGCTGGCTAACCATCTAATGAACAGACTCGACCAGCAATAGAACAGAACTAGTTAGAGCAGTAAATTAGTTATTAGCCCAACTAAAGAATCAATCTTAACATGGTAGCGGTATTTTGGAACATGGTAGTTGGTTTAGTCTAAGATTATCATTAGCTGGTAAACCAACTTGGACCAGCAACAAACATGCAGGTATCAGTTGGTCATTCCAATTTGAGGTGGTCAGGCAGGAGGTTTTTATAACATGGTGACTGGTCAACCAGCTAATGACCAAATGTGACCAGCTAATGACAATCAGCTAGAACAGAACTAGTTAACTAGTTAGAGTAGTAAAGTCAAGTTTACTAGTAAATGTTTTGGGGCATTTAATTTGTCATTCCAGTTTAAAGTGGTCAAGCTGTGGCTGCTCAACCAACTGACCAACTAACTAATAATCTTAGTTTAGCTAGAAACCAGGTACCATATAATGTCCATATAATTTGACTTTATACTTTATGGAAAACAAAATTGCTTTGCACAATAATATAGGAATTCTCCTTGAAAGATATAAATAAATGAATAAGCAAACTAATTTATTACTTGCGTGATTATTAATCAATAATAGTCATCAAATGTAGCCTATCTAATTCATACAAAAATATATTAAAACAATGTAATGTATTATAATTACAAATACTTCATCTGATTAGGCCAAACAGATTACATTACTACCCAAATATTGACGGAACTGCACAATAAGGTTTTACGATTCAAACACTAAACATGTCATCAGATCATTTTGTTGCATTAACAGTTCTGGGTTAAAACACGTTATGTTCCCGCTAACGACTGATGGACTACACTCCTGTCAGACCGGTGGTCAAACTTATCTTAATAAGAAACGCAAGGCGTGGGGACAACTAATTAACAACGTGCCACGGAAAGTGATTTCCTTTCCTGTTCAAGAACAATTGGGCTCTGCTTTACCCGAACGTACCGATCAGATGCAGTAGGCTTCCAGTTCACACACTGGCTTTAAAGACATGACAAATTGTGCCTGGAACAGCCAAGAATCTCCACCAAATAAGAGCGCGATATTATTATTTTTTTCGCCGCTGCACGCGTCCCGTCAGGTGGCAAGATATACCTCTCGCGCTCGGAATTTACATAAATCAGCGCGCTCATCTCGTTTGTTCGGGTAATTACAGTCTCGCATTCTAAACCGTGTCAAATTCGATCGGATGTCACACACTGCTAGTGTAATAGATCAACACGGCCTCGTTGCTTGTGAAATAATCCAATACCTGAGCACAACTCCAGTCCCACGTTGGCGTCTCTCTCTCCGGTCCTCCCGGGATCCAGCGACGTTCTTGCGGTCCCGTGCAGCCGTGGCTCTTCTCCGAGCTCCGGATCACTCTCACGCGTGTCTGGGAGGGGCCTACGAGCGGAGGGGGGACTCCTAGTCTGAGCATGTGCAGCGGGGTAGACACCAATGTATGCCCAGCAGACACATACACACACGCGCGCGCGGTGATGCATTGTCATTTTTGTTGAAATAGTGCCATTATTCAATAGCATTAGCGTGTAACTCAACATAATACTACTCTTGCAGTATTATTATAATCAGAAGCTACTGTCCATCTCATCAGCACCATGGACAGCGGCAGTGTACATTTCTAACTTGCCACTAGGGAGACAAACTAAACAGAGACTGTGAACTGATGGGTAAAACTACTGAGGAAAAGACGCCGGAAGCCTGCAATTCTCTGCAATAACATACAATGCTGTGAATCATGAGGATAATTTAATCACTAAAAAAAGGAATTGGTCTTAACTTTACATTATCTTAATGCAATGAAAGGCACGTTGTCTGCGATTGGATGTTCAGAGCTAGGATAAGCTAGTGGTGATGAACCCAGAAAGAACACAGCTGGATGTCTTTTTCAGAATGTAGTCATATTTTCACCTAGGGTGTTGGCGTCGAAACACATTTAAAAGATGCATTTAATATACATTAGCAACACAGAATTCTGCTCATTTTACTCCTCTATTTCTTTCAAAGTTCATTTTTATTAATTTCATAGATTTGTGAAGTAAGGCAGGGATATTTCAGCAATTTCTCAGCATGATGAGTGTTGAGATCTAGTCAGTCATCCAGCAGGCCAGGCTGGGCAATGAGCTGAAATCAGATATGGAACCCTCCAAAGGAGTGCTAGTGTCTAAAAAAAAAACGTCCCAGAGTGCACTGGGCGTGGTAGGCTACGCCATGTAGATAAACGTGTTAATGTCCGTCTCGTCCCGTTTGATGTACTTCTGTTCTATCAGCCACTCGATCTGCTCTTTGATCATCTTTTTCTGGGGAAGAAACATGTTCTTTAGGATCTCCACCAGCTCCGTCTGAAGCTGGGCATTGCTGATCCTCTTCCTCATCTTCATAATCTGAATGATAGCTTCCTGTACAGAGTGAAGAAGAGGAGTTTGGTGACAAATGAGGTTTCCTTCAGTGTTAGCATGTCTGAGAAATGTCTAGACTTTAATGTTTCTCATGCTTTTATAGTAGACAAGTAGAAACTGCCTGTGCCTGCATATGAATATCTTTACAAAACGTAAAAAAATTAAATGGGTAAGTTGGACCAGATGGTAAAGTACCCAGAAAACATCCTTCAAAACCATTTGAAAAACATCTGAGGATGCACCTCATGAAATCACTATATAATTCCCATACCTGTATCACTGTTTGCTTACTTCACTATTATTCTAAAATGTGGAAATAATAAAGAATCTAACACACACACACACACACACACACACACACACACACACACACACACACACACACGCACAAGCACACACACACACACACACTGTTAATATTATATTCGAACACTATCCCCTACCCTATGATATATAAGATGCTTTCATCATGGGGACCAAGGTCCCCACAACATAGGGTTTACCAGGACCAACCAACCATCCATCCATCCAGACAGATAGATAGATAGGAGTGTCAGTGATAGGTTCAATAACTCCAATACCTGTGTGCGTAGTATCCGAAGTTGCACTATGCCCTCATTTTCTTCTTCACGCATTCTCTCTGTGGTGAGTTGTAATCGACCAATCAAATTGATCTTCCCTCTTTTCTGGACCTTTGAGTTTTTTCTGTGCAGAAGAGATAATTTCATTGAACTGAGGTCTGTTAAAACATGCAATTAAGGAAAAATATAGTAGTCCAGCAATATTTGTAATTAATAGAAATACATATTTTATGTATACACCATTAAATACCATTCAAAGGTTTGGGGCACGCGTGTGTTAAAAGGTTTTTTAACACACGCGTGCCCCATTTTTTTTTTCTTCCAGCAAGGGTGTTTTAAATTGATCAAAAATGACAATAAATACTTTTTACATTATATTTCAAATAAATGTTGTTCTTTTGAACTTTGTTCATCAAAGAATCCTGAAAAAAAAAATTCCACAAAAACATAGTAGTAGAACATAGAAAATAGTAGAAAATAGTTATTTTAAATTGTAATGTCATATTCACTGTATTTTTGATCAAATAAATGCAGCCATGGTAAGCATAAGAAACTTTCCGACCCCAATCGTTTAAACGGTAGTGGATGCAATGTGATGAAAATATACTTTCTATTATGATTCATTAACACACATTTTATAGCATTACTTGAATTATTCAACATTCTTCATCAAATGCAAACAGTGATGAGTGTCCTTACATTAAAGAAAACTCTTGATTGATGTAAAATACAGAGCCGTCTGCGAAGTCTTTAGGAGAGCCCACCACAGGTTCATATGACAGGACCTGACGCTTTAGTTTGGGGAAAGCTACAAGAGACTACACATTTAAAAACAACAAACAACCAAAAAAAAGGTTAGGCAGTATTAAGCAACCAAAAGTCAATGTCATATCAGATCCCTTCATTTTCATTCCACAGGATCAGACCATGTTCATCCCATTGCTAACAGAGAATAGTTTTAAGGGAAATGTCATCAAAATAAAGACTCCGTTACCCAGAGGGTCCGGCGCAGCTCAGCGTCTGGAAGTTCCGTGGCTAATTTCAGATTCTCAAAGCTGATCCTCTCTCTTGGCCTTTGGTTCCAGGCAAACAGCACAGCTAACTGGAATGTCGTAACTTCTAAATCATACTGCCCAACTTCATTCTTGAATGTGATCTAGGGATAGAAGAGATGAGACCAATCTTGACCTGTTCCCTTGACATGAAGGAGCCCTATAAAATGTCAAATTTGAGACAGAATCTCCAAATCCAGTGCAGCAAGAATTTCAAAGACTAAATTCAAGTTTACAGCAACACAATTCACAGTAGTACAAACTTGTGAGCATCAAAGTTCAGCAGTTTTTTCAAGGGCTGTAACCACAAGTCCGACTCAATAATTAGAAACGGTCAAATTGTTCATCCCCAATATTTGACATTCTTGAAGCTGTTCTGCTGTACTCCTTTACGCACTGCTCTGTTTGTTGTTAGGATGAAGAAATGTTTTAAAAGTTAGCCTACATTTTTAGCCTCATCACTCATCAGTGTCAAAATGATTGGAACGGCCAATCCAATCAAAGAAGGCGGGCCTTACTGTTCACAGATGACGAGTGTGAATTCCAACACAATGCTTTAGTTTTAACGGTGTAAGTGAGCATGGTAAGTAGCTAAACATTCAATATTTGACAAATGTGTTACAGAAATGTTCAAGGACTGACAGTAATGTCCAATGATGCAAACTACTCAACTTTTTCATGAAATTTCACTGTTTCGAATGATTTATGTAATTCATAACTGAATGTGACAAGACAAGAAATATTTTGACGTAGACATACGAATAAGAGTGAATGTGTGCATTTTTTAAAATAAAATATAATTTCCAAATAGTTTAATTTGATAACATCACAACTACAATTGGACCTAGAACTTCTTTCGCTGTTCATATTTCTTATTCTTTTTTGCCTTAATAGTCTTCATGGAAAACGTCTGGTTTTGTCTCTCCCTTATTTTCACAGGAAGTAGAGCATCCCGTTATACAAAGGGCTTAAGCTGCCACTCACAATGCCATTGGACATCAGATGGTGCCAGTGTAATTTTCTGCCACTGTGATTTTTCTTGTAAAACTCCTCGACTTCAGGAATGAGATCTTCTAGCTCGGTGGGCAACGATACGAACACTTTCTCTGAACTCCGAGACCATGCTCCCGCATTCAAGATCTTTATATTGACAGAGTCAGCTATAGTGTCAAGACATAAATAAAAATTAGTTTGAATGTACAACAAAACAGTTCAGAATAGAGGCCTGCACTCCCACTGGAACCAACGCAACAGAGTGCGGCGCGGGACAAGATTTAATGGGCGAATGTGGGTGCGAGCGGTTAGATACTCATGTGTGTGGGCAAGGCTTAGTCTTCCCCTGTTTGCTGCTACTTCTGATCACTTTTAGAGGGAAAAGCCGCCCATAACTGCATGGTGTAGTTTTCTCTGTAGTAATAGCATATTGGTGAAACAGATTTGGCAAGCGATCCAGTGCATATCTGTGTTTGTGCTCTGGAGAGCGTCAAAGGTTTCTATTTACAACACATTTTTGCAGCGTTGAGTAAATCTCCAACATATCTGTTGATTTCTTGAACGCAATGGCCAATCAGAGGTGTTTAAGTTAGTCAGAATCCACTTACCACTCAAAACGACTGAGTATTTGTGTATTTGTACTCGCGAATCCTCGCAAACAAAGTGTAGACATTATGAGAGGTTAATTTGTGCAGTCAGCTTAATTGATTATAACGTAACTTTGTGAGATTGTGATGAACTAAAATGAGTTGTAAAACGAACAGCTTTTTAGTGATTATAAAGGGAGCGCTCTTTGTGCGCTTTCTGCAATGCTAATCACACATGTAGTAGCCTATACTGTACTTGCTTTTCTGTTAAAATTAACAGTGCTTTGTGAATGTAGATGCTTTAATAACAAATAATATATCGGGAGTGTTTATGCTGAGATGTGTAGGTTGTTGCTAGGCGGCCAAACTTGAAATTATTTCATGGATGTACTGAAAAAATCTGTTTACTTTTACCTGAGGACTTTTGTGGGCGGTAGTGGGACAAAACATGAATGTTGCGGGTCGGAGTGGGAGAAGGTAACATTTTTGCAGGAGCAGAGACCTCTAATTCAGAAGCATCATAAGACAGTCATATCTGACCTGGTAATGCAAGTTTGTTGTGTTTATGCATTTCTTTGAAGGATTGATTTAAGTCTTCTGATACTTTGATGTCCTGGAACATTCTGGCGAGCTTGTTCACGTAATCTGCTGGCATACCAACCTCCTGTACAGACACAAAAGTCACTCGATAGAGATTCACTAAAAAGTCTTTCATCAATAATTACAATCACGTTCTCAGTTCCACTTACCCTGAGCCACTCCACCATGTTCTCTTCAATCTCACTGTCCGCAGAAAT